GGTTTAGGGTTCCTATAAAGTACCCTTTGGTAGTATGGGGTCCCAAATTAGGGGTTCTACTTTCTAGATCCTTCCGGGGGTCTGGGTATGGAACCTAACCGAACCATGTGAGAACTTTCCAGAACTCATTCACCCCAAAGGCTTCAGATCTCAAAAGGGCTAGAACTTGTCTTACACTATACGATATCAACTGAATATGGTTAATATGGACATGAACATGAACTGAATATTCATAGTCATATACATATGTAAACCACTGTGAGACTAGAAACGAAATGATACATAACTCTCAACCGTACTTACTTAAATCACAGGGTCTTATGCTACCCTAAACCCTAAACCCCTACACCCTATTAGCCTGGTGACAGATACCCGGCACCTTCGAAGAAGATCTCCGCTTCGCGCATGTACGGAGCCAACCTTGGGCTAAGGATTCGAAGCAGAAGCCCTGATGTAATGTAGGGGCCTTCATACTTAGAATAGGGTTTAGGGTTTAGGGTTTAGGGGCCTTCATACTTAGAATAGGGTGTTCGGGCTCCTTTATAGCATAGTGATAATAAGCAATCCTAACAATACCATTGGTATTTATTTCGGCTACGATATTAAGGGTTACCTGGACCCTGAACAGCTTACTGTTTTCAAGACTTATATAAGGAAATAAGAATAAGGAGCCCTAAAAAGGTAGGTTCTTTAGGGTCCAGGTACTGGTTGCAAGTTGAAGGGTGTAAGGTCTCACGTTTGATCCGGGTTCCGCTCTACCTCCTTCAAGACGAGTTTCCCATGTTGTCCACTTTTGTCTCTTCCAAAGGGCAAACACCAAAGTGAAAAGGGGGATACGGGGATCTACCTGGGAATCGTTCCTACCCTAAACCCTAAACTCTGAACCCTAAACCCTAAACCCTAAAGCCTAAAATCCTAAAACCCTAAAACCCTAAAGCCCTAAAACCCTAAACCCTAAGGAGACCCCAGACGAAAGACGATGAGGCGACTACTTGGGGACCATGTTATGTCCCGCATTTTAGGGTTTACTTTAACCTTGTCAGAATATATCTATAAAAATATGTATATGTACATATATATATATATATATATTTTTTATTTATTTATTTATTTATATATTTATTTATGCGTGTATGTACATATATACACACACACAATGCTGAGGAACCTGGCTCGCCGTTGGGTAGCAGGGGTGCGGGAGATTTCTGCATTTCTAAAAGTCTAAGCGAGTCTGAGGTGTAGGTTTAGGGTTTAGGGCTTACGGTTTACGGTTTAGGGAGTTATTGCCTTAGAGGTTAAGGGTGTTGAGAACGTTCGTATGACCAGCAACTTCAGAATGCGGCTGTTCATAGCATCGGCGATGTAGGCACTGCCCTGGAAGAAGGCAATGCTCGCAGGCGTATTCAGTTGAGCAAGCGTGTTTCCGGACCACTTCTGTCCAAAGAAGAGCTCAGCCTTTCTCTCCTGGGCTGTTCTGGAAACCCTGCTTAACCAACCGCTTGTAAGCATCGAATTAAGTAACGCAGAAACATCGCCAAGGCATCCTACCTAATTTATGGGTATGGATCGGGTGGTCTTCAAAAGCTCCTGTTGCTGGTTCCTGCGTGGGGGGTCAAACCATGTATCCACTCCGCAGTAATGTACACGTAAATGTCACTAACGCTACTTTTCATTCTTGGGTGATCCCCTAAACCCTAAACCCTAAACCCCTAAAGATCCTTTTTGGCCTAGTCTCTCCAGGTGTCACTTTGAGAATTCGGGCGTTCATCGTGTCGACGATGTACGCCTTACCTCCATAGAAGCTGATCCGCCTCGGCGGCCAATGAATGAAAGGCCCTAAACCTTAAACCCTAAACCCTAAACCCAAAACCCAAAACCCAAAACCCAATGAGGGCTTGAATGAGGTTTAGGATAGGGACGGTCCGGTTCCCTCAAGCATAAGCCCGAAACCCTTGACCCAAGCCCCAAATTCTCAACCCTACAGCGGGCTGGCAGGGCTCGCAGCTTCGGATCGTATCTGAGATTTCTTCGCTTTCACTTACCGTCGGGCATACACCCTTAACACCCAACATGTAGGGAGCTTGCGGTTTCTGCAGCTTGAGAGCAACACCAACCGAATTAGCGGCAATCTCCTTGTAAGGTTTAGGGTGATAGGGCCTGGGTTTAGGAGCCAAGCCAATCTTCAAAGGCGCTGTGGGTAGAGTAAGCTTGTCAAGGACGACCAGGCTGACTGATTACCTTGGCTGACTTCTGAACCCCTCCAAAAAGTTAAACTTTTAGCCTCCTTATTATGGTTCGTCTAGAAACCCAAAAAGTTAAAGTCCTAAGAGCCAAACCAGAAGAACACCAAGTTACCCCCGAAGAAGGTCTCGCCATGCGATGCACCAGGCTTCACCTTTAGGATCCGGTGCCTTGGCCTTTCCTCAGCTGCCCGTTTCATGGGTCTAGGGTTTAGGGTTTAGGGTTTAGGGTTTAGGGTAAATCATTAGAAAATGCCGTGCAGACGCACAAAACGCACCAACGCTGTCAAAATCATCTACTGAGTCTCAACGATGTAGGCATTGCCTTCGAAGAAGGTAACATCAGAAGGACCTCTCCTGGGCTTTGAAGTAACCAGGGAGAAACAAATATAGACTCTTATTTCATAATGGTTCCTTTAAGGAACAGGTCCCCAAAAAAAGTATTAAAGTATGGTACTCCAAAGCCCAGTTTCAGACTGCCGAACACGACTTTCCCCTTCTTCTCGCCTGGCTTCACCTGGACGGACTGTTGTACTGTTTAGGGTTTAGGGTTTAGGGACTGGTGGGCAATGCAGCACAAGCCATAATTAGTTCTACTGTTACCATAGCTTAAGCTGTCTAGGTTGTCAGCCGTTTGCAAGAATTCGCTCGTTAGCTGTAGGGACAGCTTGTGCTTCAAGTTGGAATTTTCGCTAGACGTTCAGAAGAGCACCATGTTATCCTAAACCCTAAATCCTAAACCCTAAACCCTAAACACCCTACAATCTGAAACCCAAGAGGGTCTTGAACCCTAAACTTTAAACCCTAGACCCCTAAACCCTACAACCCCAAACCTTAGACCCTAAACCTAGAAACCCAAAAGAGTCCTACTAAAGCCTAACCCTACACACCTACACCCGAAGCCCTTCAACCTAAACCCTAAACCCTAAACCCTCAACCCCTTCAACC